GGGCTGGGGAGGCCGGTAGTTCCTAGTGGCCTATTCTGAAGGTGAACCCCTTAGAGGTGTCTTAATAGAGCGGCTTGCCTAGAGGGTGGGACGGCTGGAAAGCGCTTGCAGCCCGAGCCTCGTCGCCCTCCTCCTTTGCCTAGGGGTCAGCTCCCTCTTTTCCCCCCAAGACCGGAGAAACCAGGCAGCGGGGCCCTTTCCCCGTTGCCGCCTTTCCGCGTCCTAACTTCCGAGGCGTGCTCCAACTGTCTGCAGCCCCAGCCCCAGAGAGCCACGGCCAGGGGGTTCAAACCCTTGCAAAGTGCTACCTTGAGGTCCCAACCTTCCCTAACTTCCCTAACTGGTTATGTTTTCTGACGGCCGGGAATCTTAAGTCACTCTACTTTGCAGGCCCTTCTCCCTCTGCGGCCTGCGGTTACCGAGGTGCTCCCGGCTCCGCCCATATTGCAAGGGGCCCCACAACTGCAAGAGCTTGGCGCGTGGGGCTGGGACCCGCCCGCTCTCCACTGCCGGGGAGGAAAGAAATTCCCCATAGCGGGTTCTGAGAGCCCACCCTGCGGTCCCAGGGAGGCTCTGGCAGCTTTGGCTTTGTAGGCCCCAGGAGTCCGGCCAGCTTTGCTGCAGCCTCCCGCAGCAAGCAGTTGCGCCCGCGACACAGGCAAGGACCTTAAAGGCAGCCAGGGCCTCCGATTCTCTCTTTGCCTCTCGCGCTTTTTCCTTTGAAAGAGAAATAAACAACGCAGCTCTGGGAGAGAGGACGTGAGCGACTTCTTTGAAATAAACTTGAAGATAACGACATTACAATGAATGGCAGGACGCACAAAACCCCATGGGCTCAGGTCAAACGGCATTAGTCACAGGTCTTAGCCGCAGCCGCCGCGCCGCGCAGCCCCTTAGGCTATCGCGGAGTTTTGAAAAGACGCGTTCAAGGAGATCACTTAAAGTAAGATCCTTTCGTCCGATTTCTTGCTTCCTTAGGATTTATTCTGCCTTTTCACGGGCGGCCAGCCCTCGCCCCCGCCCTCACTTTTCCTCTTTGCGCCTTAGGAATTCCTTAGGGGACTCTGCAGACGGACCGCTGGAGGCAAGGTCCACGTGGATCTCAGCAAGGGGTTGACCCACCTTCCAAAAATGTCAGGGCCCCTTTTACAAGCGGCGAAGTTAGCAGCAGTTAGTCTATAGTAAGGCAGAATGACCCGGGAGCGGGGGAGGGACGTGTACGCGCGCGCCCGCGCGCCCGCGCGCGCGTGATAGTAAAGGGCCAATGGAGCGTGTCAATCTACAGGATAATAACTAAAAACTACACCCAGCGAAATGCCCCAGCAGGAGAAGAGGCCTGGGGAAGAGGATGGCACTAGGAAGGGCCCAGACTAGCTTTGAGTTCTGAGCACTCCCCTCCTCCTCGCCAAAACCCCTGCAAACCGAGGCTCTATTCCGATCTTCCGGAAGACCTGGGCAAGCGCTTCTCTGATGGGTAATTCAACACCTGTAGTTACCGATCTTCTCCACCCCTGGAACAAGCCACAGCTCCAGGCGGGGAGGAAAGGAACAAGGGAGGGAGGGAGAAGTGGAGGAAGGTGGAAGGAGGAGGAAGAGAAGGACGCGTTGGCGATGGAGAATTAGAGATGAGAAGAGTTGGAGGGAGAGAATGCAAAAAACAGAGCCGATCTTCCAGCTTCCACAAAGCAGTTGGGGACGGGGGTAGCGGGAAATTGACTGCGATGGAAAACTTCGTCTTGTGGCAAGATGAAAGTGCAGGTGTTCAAACAGTTTAGACTTTTCTCCCCTATTTTATTGCAAGACTTCAAAAAGAGAAACTTTGGAAGTTCTTCACATACGTCCCTCGTCCGTTTCCAGAGGTCTCCAATTAACTGGAGCGATGCATTTCCCATACTTAAATACCCACTTATTTAGAAGTCATTCCTTTCCTTAGAGGTTTTCGACAGCCTGCCTGGCCAGTACGCCTCCATAAGAGTCTCGGGCTCAGAAACTCCATACTTGCGTCATCGTAAAGCATTATAATTTGGCTTCAGAGCCTGGCCCTAAATAACTTTTTAATTTGAATCAAGGGAGAGCTTTAGCGGGCTCCGTTTCTGGTTTAATGTGATATAAATCGCAGATGCACTTTTATTGAATGGTTAAAGCAGCGACATGGAGATCATCAACACAAAACGCCCTGAACAAAACCATCGAGAGAAATAAAGCTGGTTAATAAGATTTTTGAGAAAGCTTTGTGTTAAAAAGCAAAAAGGAAAACCAGCTGAAGGTGACAGTTAGTTCATGGTTAATAGGATCAGGGCGGCCTGGCTGGGCTGCACACTTCTCTTTGGGGAGGTTCAGCCACACCAGAGAAATGAATGGGACGTTTAACACATCTGTTATCTCGCCGAACAGAGAAACGGGGGGATCGAGGTTCGGCGTTACCCCAGCCCCAGCCCCCCAGTGAAGAGAGACTGTCTCCGGGAAGACTCTCATTTGAGGTCCCCGATTAAGCATAGGGTCTCCTGACGTGGGACCAGCATTCTTGAGAACTGCGATCTTCCCAGGCTGTTTTCAGGCATTTAATTAAGAAGCTGCAAAACTTTGGCCAAAGTTAAGCACCCGGCAATGGGTAGGGCTCTCTCGAGGAATCTCAACTTTTGCTGCTATGGCTTCAAAAGTCCAGGCCATAAGTTTCAAATGAAATTTCTGAGGGCTCCTTGAGGTGGGAAAAGGGCCGGCATAGCACTTCTCGCATTCAGGTCGCCTGGCCTGAGGCTGCTCAAGTGGAATCCAGCAGCCTGGACCCCGAGCGTTGCTCCCCTCTGATCCTCCCCCAGGCAAGCTGCGGAGTGCTCCTTGCTGACACTTCTAAAGAAATCTCGCTGAAATCATTTTCCAAGTTTCTGGGAGTTTGCAGGAGACACATTTTACCATTCAGGTATCTACCAACTCTCAAACTCTTAGTTTCCCGACCCGAAATAACTCAAATCCAGACCTCCCCCTCCATCCTTATGGACTCCACCCAATAACCCCAAAGCATTAATTCCAAATCTCCCTGTGTTGTCAGAATAGCACCCCACAAACACTGATTTTACCCACCCCTCACATCTGCTTTATGCCTCAGCTGGAGTAACCTATACAGCTAGAGACTGAAGAGGGAGTATATTTTCGTGTTCACTGACTTGAAATCTTCCGTTGCCCTCCCCACAAGGGGGAGGGCTATTTTACTGATTGCCTGGAGACGAATTTCTATGAATATTTATTGATTTATTTTCCAGACTCGGCAGGGGAGCTGCAAATAAATTTAGTGCGTTCTTTAAATAATTCCTTTTCTATGAGGCAAGATGTCATCTGAAACTTCTAAATAGGCATTTAATTAGCCCGGGTGTTGCTTCGGAACAAAAACTCCCGGCGAGAGCTTTGGGGGCGCACTGTATTGCAAAGAGGCGGTCGATATGCAGAATTGATGCGCGCCAGCCTTTGTTGCCGGCCCATTGTGCGGGCCATGCTTATGAAGACTAATCCAATCATAAATTGCACCCCTGCGCCAATCAGAGCGCCCAGAGCCTCCGGCGAATGAAGCTCGAGTGGAGAACTTTGTTGAACTTCATTGTCAGAGCTGTCACTTTTCAAAGCGCTTTAACGGGCGGGCCACTATAAAACCATCACCTCGACGGGAGGACCACGGAGGACTCGCAGACGCCCAAGTGGGATCATTACTTGGAGACGTTTGCTAAGCCCAAGAGAGAGGGCATCGCGGGGGCGGGAGGGGCGGGAAGCGAGGCATTTACCCTCAGGCCACTGGAAGAAGGGTTATTCCGCCCGCCCCGCGCCTAACATGATGTTCCCTGGCCTCCTCGCGCCCCCCGCCGGGTACCCGAGCCTCTTGCGTCCCACGCCCACCTTAACGCTGCCCCAGTCCCTGCAGTCGGCATTTTCCGGCCACTCGAGCTTTCTGGTGGAGGATCTGATCCGCATCAGCCGGCCTCCGGCTTACCTGCCCCGCAGCTTACCCACGGCCAGCATGTCGCCCCCTAGGCAGGGGGCCCCCGCGACTCTCACAGACACCGGGACCTCGGACCTGGGCTCCCCGGGTCCAGGCAGCCGACCGGACGGTTCACCTCAGACGGCCGCCGCCCCTGCAAGCGAGCCAACGTTTCTGAAGTTTGGGGTTAACGCCATCCTCTCCTCTGCTCCCAGAACCGGTAAGTGAGCGCAGGACACTGAGGGCCGGTCCAGGTGCGAGTCCTTCTTGCCCCGGTTTCCTGTTTCCTTGCCCACTCACACATCTGCGCACATACACTTACGCAGGGTCCCCGGGACCCCACTCGCGCAATGTGAGACTCAGGTCCAGCCAATTCC